TCACCCCTTCATGTTTAGCTAAGCACCCCCTGCACTATAAAAGCAGCAGCAGAGGATAACGAAAACAACCTAAATCTGAGGTGGTGGCTGAGCTGAAATCTAAAACACGGAGTTAGGAATCCAGAAACCTCAGGGCAGTGGTTATTTCAGAGAATAGATTAAGGGGTCCAGATACACAAGTGGAAAAAAAGAACAGAACATTAAGAAGGTGGCCTTTTTTTCCAGTTCTACAAAAATTCAAACACAGAGGTCTGGAATTTCAAGGAGCATCTGTATCATCCACACAAACTGTAGACCTGGAAAACCCTCACCTCTCCTACAATGAAAAGCAACTGACATGAACACCCCCATCTGGTTACTAATCAGGTTACTGGCTTCTTTTTTCTACTGCTCTTCATGTTAAAAGCTCCATCTTTTCTTTTTTCTTTTTTTTTGTACTGGGCACTAAACTCAGGGGCACCAGACCACTGAACCATATCCCCAGCCCTATTTTGTATTTTATCTAGAGACAGGATCTTACTGAGTTGCTTAGTACCTTGCTTTTGCAGAGGCTGGTTTGAACTCATGATTCTGCAGTCTCAGCTTCCTGAGCTGCTGGGATTACAGAAGTGTGCCACCGCGCCCAGCTAAAAGCTCTACCTTAACAGAGCCCCTGTCCTGACAATTTTCATCACTCTGTCATTAACCTGGATGGTAATGAGGCTTTCAGCTGAGCAGGCTGTGGACATCTTCAGGACAAATTGCCCCTTCAGGAGCAAAGGTGGTAGGGCCTGCCTGAAGGCAGAATCTGTGTCTCTAAGCTGGTGAAGGGCACTTGGACTTATGTGTCTTTAGCATCACACAGATCTGCACTGACAATGTCAAAGGTCAGAGCTTTAAGGCTTGTGGACAGGGTGAGTGAAGGTACCAGCCACATGACATCTGCTCAAGGATCATCATGCTGTAGAGAGATAGCAAGGAGACAATCTCTGCAGCTCTGACTTGGGTATCTTGTGTAGAATACAAATTACCCAAAGGCAAATCACTAATGTCAGCACTTTTCTGAGGCAGCATTCTGTCCTTAGTATGAAAAGGTTCTTGTTGCCTGAAGAACTCTAATGTAAACTAACAAAATATAAATATATACAATAAATTTGCCAGCTTAATTAAAAAGTCCACTGATATTACAGTCAAAAACAGAGGGCCCTGAGGTAAATAGCTGCATGGTGAAGGAAGGGAGCCTGTTAAGGAGTATGAGTGGGGTACAGCTGGAGGCAGGTGCTGTGGCCAGCACACCACCCTCCTCTGCAGAAGCCCCTTGCCTTCCCTCGCAGCCACTGCATCTAATTCAGACTGAGGTCTTCTGTGTTCCCATAACATGCTGGGTTTTGCTGTTTGGCTTGCCCTAGCCTTATTGGGTAATGATTTAGTATATTTTATATTATTCTTAAGTCCCTTTGTTATTTTTAAGTGGTAGAGACAATGGAAGAAGAATTTCAAAATAAAATGTGTCAACTTTTCTGAGTACAAAAAGTAAAAAAACTGAGGCAGAAAATTTGAGAAATAAAGAAAAATCACTAATGACAATCTTACTATCCAAAGATAATATTTTGATATTTAATTCCTTTTGGCTTTTATTCTCCATACAATATACACTATTATTTAAAATATAGTAGGGATCATATCACATATCACACTTAGTACTCCGTTTTTCATTTAGTGATGCATTAGAGATTATTTTCATATTACTGATATTAAAAGACAACATAATTGTTAATTGCTGCATATATCTGATCTTATTAATGGTACATATTTTATTTAGCCAATCTCCTACTGTCTTCCATGAAGTTGTTTTTGGTGTCATTCAAAGCCTTTGACAGGGATTCATGAATGAGAGCCAAAGTGTAATATGCATATGGTCAGTGGATGATGCCTATGCCTCCTCCATAGCCCACAGAATCGATGGAAGAAAAGCACTAATTAATAAGAGAGGGCTCTTCCACTGCACTACTTAGGACTAATTTTGGAAGAGTTAAATCTCTAATAAGTTTTTGTGGATATGCAGAATAGAGGCTTAATTAGATTAATTAGATTATTAGAACAAAGGGTGTTCTGTACTGATTTCCTCCTTTCTGAAAGGGATCTGGTAGACCCCACACATGGGTAAGCTTTTCCAAGTCAATTCTCTTCTAAAGGCAACTCAGAAAATCTGGTAGAGCCACAGCTTGCCCAATGACAACACAAGGTAGGGACATATGTCCACAGCTTTCCTCTTCTCAAGCAATGGGACTGAACTTATTCTTTATAGAGTAAGGGCTATTTGAACACCCTAATAAACTATGCTTTCACTTTTTCTCGATCAAGTTGATAAAATAGTTGTCCCAGTCCCATTAAATAACTGAGAAAGTGCTAGGAGCAATTCAGTAGATTTCTGCAGATTCAATAGGTCTGTAGGAATATTTTGGTACAGACTAATCTTTGTTGAAATTTTTCAATTAATTCAAGTTATGGAAGATACTCCACAGGTAGGATACAATTATCTTTGTGTTCCTGAGTCTTTAGGATCCAAAGGGCTACCTGCAGGGGAAATGCAGGGGTACCATAATCCCATAATGGGCATGCATCTTCATAGTCTACAGAAAGAAAAAAAAAAATTCTGCTCTCTGTCAGTAGAACAATTACAGTTCAAGAATTAAGGGCCCTATGAAAAAGTTGAGTAACTCCTAGATGAAAACCATTAGTGAGCCATGAAACTAATTTTGTGAGTTAAAATAATCAAATGAAAAAGAAAGGTCAGAGAATATTGAAAAATGAAGCAAGGGCAATTACTGGTTCATGAAAACATACATGTGGGTATGCACATGTATGTACAATAGGTCTGAGTGTGCTTGCAGGTTTATATGTGAGTATATGCCAAATTACAATTTAAAAAGCTTCTTACCATGAGTAATGGTCACAAGTTTGAAACCCATCTAGACTGACCATTACTTCAGGAAAAAGTAGATATAAAAAATGGACAACTTTTAAATTTATACATTGATCAATGACTAATTTTTTATTCCATAAATAGGTACTAGAAGATGTCACCCAGACTTGAAGAATTTAAGAATCATTTCTCTCGTGAAAGAGTTGAGAGGGTTGACAGAAAAATTAATACCCTTTTAATATCCACACATGAAATAAACAACTAAACATAGGATTATCAAAAACAATAGCCTAACCTTAATACAGCAAAAAATCAACAGCTTTTTCATGCTTTTTTCAATAACTACTTGGCTAATATGTTAACCATACTTTAGTATATTAATCAACTCAGCCAGGGCAACATTTTATTACCCAGCTGGGATTGCTGTGTTACTATCTTACTCAAAGTAAATGACTTCACAGGAATTTTATTTTATTTTGTTAAATTTCTGTTTTAGATGTTGATGGACCTTTATTTTATTTATATGTGGTGTTGAGAACTGAACCTAGTGCCTCACACATGCTAGGCAAGCACTCTACCATTGAGCTACAACTCCAGCCCCCACAGGAGTTTTATTAAAGTTACTTTTATGGTACAGATGACTGATGGAGTGGTAACCTTGGGACCTCATGATCTTTTAACTCACCCATATTTATAGTGCAGAACTCTGTAACTTCAACAAAACAATTTAAATACTTTTTATAAAAATCTGAGCTGATCAAAAGAAGATATATAAAAATATTTGCTATCTGACTTCAAGTTGTCCCAACTTCAAGTTGTCTACCTCTGTACAAATGGGCAGTGATTTCTTCATTGAGGGAAAAGTAAAATTCAGGCTTGTGTTGACATTTTAAAAAAAGTATCTCTGTCAATTACCAACAGGTAAAGTGAAGCATCAGGTTCCCCTCTTGATCAACAATCTTGAATTCCTGTATTTCTTACATTATGCTTGAATTTCCTACTGTAATATTTTGATGACATAAGAGAACAAAGAGATCATTTAAAGGAAACACTACTTTTTGATTAGTCTCCAATACTAAGTCAATCTTTAGAGAGATGCATGCTGCACTCTATTACCTTTATAAAACTATATTCAGAGATCATTGTGGTCTTAGATATAATGGTTAGTTTGTATCAAGGCTTCCCATGTGACATGCTGTGCTCACAAAATTATAAATATATATTACGTTGATACTCTGAACCTTCAAGTTGGTCAAATTTTTGAGTGTAAATATTTTCTGTATGTGCCACGATGTAAAAAACATTGGGAAATTACATAAATAGCCATAAAAACAACATCTTCTCATCTTCTAAAATCTGCTATTGAAGACCTCAGTCATTAAGTTAGTCTATGTTACATAAAATCTAAACTAATAAAAGCCTAAGTGATCAGCACCAAAAAGAGTTTTTTCCCTTTGAACTGGCATATTCTTAGATTATGACTATGAATTAACTTGTTTTTTTTTTTTTTAACTGATTTCTAGGAAGCTTCCAAAGATTGGTGCTCACTATAATAACCTAAGTTATCCAGTATACTTATAGCCATTCCCTGCAGTCTATCACTGAGTTCAGTTCTCTTAATACTTCATTCAATAGTTTTGGTTATATCCATATCATGAAATATAATCTATAATCTTTCAAAAAGTAGACTGGATTAAAAGTAATAAATGAACAAATGAAAATTTCAAAAAGAGATGTCTATATTATTATGCACTGCCTGGCTTTACTACTAAATACATTTTTCAACAATAGGAAACAAAAACAAAACAAAACAATTAAAACAACCTAGGAAGAGCATAAGAAAATTTACCAGCTCAATCTTGTGAATTGTACCTCAAAAAGAAAAAACATACCCACTAACTTATTAGTCATTTCATATAATTATATATGGGGTTCTGATTTGAACAAAACTTCTAAGATGATTCATATCAAATTGCAATTATTATAGGTCAAAAATGACTGAATGATGAAAAATTTACATAGTTCAACCTGAATAAGAAAAAAGGATTTATTTGTTAATAGGATATGACTGTAGTAACAAAGAATTGGTTCTCACCTGAATGATCTCAGCATTCGATAGGACTTCCCTAAATCAGATACTCGTCTGCAAAATGGACCCACGGCCAACTCCATCTGGAATATTAAAAGATACTCCATAGCTTTTTATGTAGAATCCTTAGGTGAATTTGGGACATAGCTGAATCACACGAAGTTGTAGCTTGCAGTAAACTTAATGTTACCTGGACCGTGAAGCCAGTTTTAAAAGACAATTAAAATTACTAAAAAGATAAGAACTTAGATAAATTTTACATTACTAAAGGGGCCCAAGACAAGACAATTCCTTCACATGAATAGAAAACCTTTTTGTGTGTGTGTGGTTGTTAAATAAGGGAAGAAAGTTAAGGTCATTTTCTCCATTGAAATACTGGGAAAGAAAGTTTTCAAGACTGTGTGCCTATATTTTAAGTAGGTATGTCAAATCTTTTTTATAGTCAACAAAGAGAACTTTTATGAGTCAGTGTGGCCCAAGTCATTACAAGCTTTAACTCTAAAACTTTCTATAGTACATCTGTGTCAGAAATCCAAAACTATAGGTTTTAGTAGCATGACTATTAACAACTTTCTTAATCTCTCTCAGTCTCAGGTCTCTCTTCTACAAAATGAGATAATACCAACTACTTAACACCTGTTAATTATGCAAATTAAACAGACAATTCCACGAAGGTCTGTGTGCATGGCATCTGAGTGCACATTAAATGTCAGCAATTATCACTATTTAAAACATTTTTCCTCTCTTAAATTATTGGTAAATTCATCTGCTCCCTGACATAAAAATTTAGTAAATATTGGTTTCACTTCTCTTTATTTTCTTCCATTAAGTGGAAATTCTACTTATCATTACCTGGGCTATCTGTTCTTTATCTACCAAGTGCACATGCAAAGTTTTTACAGATGTGGCATTCAGGTGATAAACTGCTTCTTCCCTCTTACTATAAATTTGTACCCTGGCAAAGAACAGTTTAGAAAATGGCTGAGAATAAGCTGTTCCCTGGTAGAATAGCATCTTTATTCAAGAAACACATGGAAGAAAGTGAGCTCTCTGTTCTTCTGGTCATTCTTATGAAAACCTGTTCAAAATCTTCTTGCTATTTGTAATCAATCATTCCTTTGAGAAGCATGTTTGACTCCCTATTAATTGCCAGGTACTGAGCTACACATAGGAATAAAATGATGAATTTAATGAGATTATTTGCCTTAAGGAACTTTCAAATTTTGTGAAAAAAGTGACATTTAATTATTCAAACAATATAATGATCATTTAATAAAATCGAAAGAAAGGTATGTATATGTAGGCACATAACACACACATACACAGTCTTATGATTCTATTGAATAATCACTGTTTGAATAAATATATATATAGATATAAACATACATGTGCACACAACCATTATTTTAGGCAAAATTAAAGTGGTGGGTCAAAATATATAAACTGAACGTCAAGGAGAATTGGAGGGCAGTTTGACTGGAGATGAACAGTGGCCAAGTTAATTTCTCTGTTACTGTATAGAAGTCATGGAGTATACATTGTATACTCCATGTATACAATGTATATTGTACATGGTTGGAAAACTCTAAAATACAAAAAAAAAAAAAAAAGTGAAAAAAAGAAAAATATAAGGAAGAAAAAGCCAGAATTCTTGCTTCTTGCCAAAAACACAAAACAGAATAGATGTGAGCCAGCATTCTTGAATTTACTTGTTTCCTTCAGAATCCATCATTTACTTTACTATGAGGACAAATTAAAAAAAAAAGATCATTATTTATCTTTGATTTGCTAATTCCATTCATAAACCTGTGTGAGTGAGTGTGTGTGTGTGTGTGTGTAAAAGCTTTTTTTTTTTTTTTAAAGGACAGGCTATGTGATTTATTTTTCATGAGATACTTGGTCATTTTTTTCCCCCCAATTACCCTAGTGGGTCACTGTCTTCAAAGATCAAACCAATCAATCTTTGGCCTAGCCCTTGAGCAGGACTAAATGTTAAAACAATTAAATGGCTAAGAAAAAGTTACTATATGAGGAAAATCGACCTCAAATGGCTGTGAAGTCTATGATGATACAGAAGATCTGTATTTCATAGGACAATTTCAAAATGTTACATGTTTAAAATACATTTTGCATTCATAAAAGGCCTCTAGAATACTGAAAATCATTTTCTTCTGCCAGAATTCCATTAAACAAATTCCATTAAATAAAGACCATGTTTAAAAGGGCAAGAGTGTTCGTTTTAGAGGAGGTGACTCTGCAATTAGCTATGGAAACAAAAATGGCATGTACAACTGCTACTCTCTAGCCCTCCTATTTGGGAGGAATGAGCAGTCAGCTGCAGGTAGATGAACTAATTACTAGCTGTTCCTTATCCACCACAGACATTTGGTTAACCACAGGGCATCTCTGGATACTCCTAGAGCTCTCCTGCCCTGACACTGTTCATGAGAAGAAAAGGCAATAGGAATTAGAAAAGACATTAGAATTTAGAGCACCTTTGTTTTCTTTTCTCAATTTATATTTTTGGGAAAAGTGAGAGAGATAAAAATGTATATATACTTAAAGGGCACCAGAAGGCTATAAATAGAAACTGCTAGGAATACCACTAAATTATTTAATGCTAACTTCAATGGATGTCCTCTCCCTCAGGGAAGAAAAGAACAGTGGAGGGGGACTGTGTGCTTCAGAGGGCACTGTGGGCAAGTCTACAAAGATTCGGGAATCAGCAGAGCCCCAGGGCCTTGGACAAGCTCAATGCTTTCAGAACTGCTGTGTGATTAGTGTAGACACAGAGACCATGTGGTCACAGCAGGGAATTAATTACCTGTAGGAAGCCACCTCATGCCCATGACCTGGATTCCTAAGGGGGTGATATGCTGTGTACTTCCCTCACCATGAGCCCTCCAGATGGCACCCTCCAACTACTTTCTCTTTTCTGCATTGGTGCCAGTGAGAGGTTAGGATTCTTTAAAAAGTCCTCAAATATACCAAATATGCCTTTGCTATAGGACATTATGCCAAATACCTGCATTCCCAAACCCACTTTACCAGGCCCTTCTTAAGCTCTTTCTGTTATTTATGTCAGAATACCAGGCACTTTTATCACAAGAATACTTTTCAAACCCATAGAGTATTTGTGTATTCTTGATTCCAGTGACCTCAGTGGCTTTGTTTAATTTTGAATACAAATTGATAGAACTTTCAATAATGAGGGTGTTAAAAGGGTTTCTAGTAGACAGTTAATGCTTGTCATGAATATAAATGTCGGGGTAATGCTATTTAAGTGTTTTGACTAAGCCTGGAAAAAAAAAAACTTCCAATTATGCACAATTCAGAAAAATGAGGCACAACATATAATTGTGTGGTGGCAAGAAAACAAACCAATGAAATGAAAACCCCAAATTCAAAATTTAATTTTTAAAAAAAGTGGGAATGGGGATCATAAAATCATCCCCCTTGTTGGACAACATTTGCCAAAGCTACTAGTCCTAAATATGATTATATATAATGGTGCTTCCACCTGACTTTCCTGTGCCCATGATCCATAGGACTGGAGCCATGCCCAAGGAAAGTGTTGGGACGTTTTGAAATTGGGACACACTGTATAACGGTGAGTTAAGGCATCTGCCTCTCAATACTATACAGACTGAGGCAACCAAAGGCCACTGAGGGATTGGAAAGCAGACTCTTAACACTGAGCAAATGCCGTATAAATAGATGCCTTTTCTACATTTAAGAAACAGAGAATAGAGCCTTTGAACATAAATTAGTAATAATCAGTGATGAATTTCATTTATTGTCATGGAAGGGAAAAATCTGGTTTACTGAGTAACATGTCTTAAGAAAAAATAAATGCAAATAAAATTCTGAATAATGCAATTTGGGCTAGAAGCAGCTCACTCCTGCCACAAAGGACCCTACACTTTGAGCAGGTACTAGTTGCAGTGGTAAGGTTTCAAGGACAACAGTTCCCATCTTTCAATACTCATAAAGAAACATACCATTAAAATAAAACCCCCAAACAACAAGCCTCTCTCCAACAGCTTCTCATTTTGGCCATCTCCTGCTCGGCTGCCACTCTAATTGGACTTGAAGTGCTGCCTCCAGGAAAGTGACTCAAGAACCAGCTGGAGCAGAATGCAAATAAGCTGGTGGGGGAGGGAGCCCCAGGGAGGGAAGAGGACAGGAAAAGTAAAACAAAATTAAGGAGGAAAAGGGAAAAGGAGACCTGAGTACAGCTATGTTTTAACAAAAAAGAGCAGGCAGGCCTAGGACATCAATGTGTTTTCATTTCAATAAGTAGCCTATAAACCCAGTAAGAGAAAAGTTCATAATAATTCTCTTTAAACTGAGTTTACTGGTAAAACAAAGCAAAATGTACAGATGCCCAAAAAATGAAACTGACAAAAATAAACAAGGTTAAAAAAAGCCTTTTAATGGGAACATTTGATTAATTTGTTTTCATATGTGGCTACTAAAGGCACATTTCCCAAAGGAAGCTTTTTGTGTGTATGTGTGGTCTAGTAGACACGGGACTATCATTTGGGGATGAAAATGACTAATAGCTGGATCAATTATTAGGTAAAAAGCCTGCTTCTTGAAATCTGAAGCGGGTTTGTGTTACCTCTTCCATCTTTTACATTCTGTCTGGTCTGAGGGAGCAACTGACAGCCATCACCTAACATAAATGGTCAGGCTAGATTCTTTCTACCATGCAAGAGTAATGAACCAAGACACACTCCCAGATACAGGAAAGAATAAATATCGACAATAACCTTTTATCTTTATAAGCAGGGAGGATCTGGCAAATCACTATGAAGTCTCAATTTGAATAACTAGATTAGGAAAGCTAATAGCTTTGAAAGATTTAAAAAATGATTTCACTCTCATCATGCTATACAAAGAAGAATCATCTTTGTTTCTGAATCTTTTAATGAAAGTATATATTTGGGGTATTTCTTCTTTGCCTCTCTCTCCTAAGTACTGAAAGGTTTTAAAAAATCTATGTAAATAATCCTTTCCATTAGAGCTGATTATGTTTCTGCTATTTTAATTTCATTTTATCTCACAAACATCAGATGTCAAGGCTAGCCATAACTAAGAAATGTACTCAACTTAAGAGAGGAAGACCAAACAATCAGACTCCATATCTACCTGGTTCACTGTACATCTCAACGAATCAGAAACACCATGATGAAGTGCTGAGCTGGCCTCTAGAGAATAATAGATATGCTGGAATTCTTTCTCTTCTCATGACAAGCAGCCCCTTTCCATTATTTGAAAGGGTATTTTACAGCCCATATCACTTTTTAAATCAATTAATTACTCTTATCAGTATTGACCTATTAGGATGTTAAAACAATGAAAAAGCCCCATTTTACACAAAAAATGGGAAATGCTATTTTATTATGGAATGAGTTACTTTACCTTAACCTTGAAAGATCAAAGATAAGGGATAATTATTTCATTAAATACAAACAACAAAATATAAAAATATTTTTAAACTTTTTCATTTAATCAATTAGTTCAAAGTGGATTTATTTTTTCTTCATGCTGTAACTTTCTTTATTTAAAAATATTTTTTTTTAGTTGTTGATAGACCTTTATTTTATTTATTTATACGCGGTGCTGAGAACCAAACCCAGGGCCTCAAACATGCCATGCAAGTGCGATACCACTGCGCCCCAGCCCCAGACTTCTTTATGCTGTAACTTTTTAAAAACCACGATTAATAGCTCTTTACTGACTAGATAATATTGAGACCAAAACATCTTCTCCCTTGGTATCTTAAGTTATGTATCAATTTACCTGTGCAAAATCAGCAGCAAGTCGCATTTTCCCACCTTCACCAAGAGGTCTTATGAGACTAGCATTTCGGATAAACAGTTCAATCGCTCTTTGGGCAATAGCTTCAGTGTTGTCAAAGACAAAATCCAAGCAATCAAAGTGTTTAAAGTAATCACTCATAACTCTAGTAATGAAACCTTGTAGCTCCTTCATGTACAAAGAACAAGGAACATCAGGTTTTCCTGAGCTGGATAATGACCTGTAAAATAATAAAACACAACCATTTTCAGCACCAATACACTAAACTTAATTTCCCCACTTTTGGCTGCTATTTCAAGTCTGCACAATTTTCCCCCTTAATGATAAAAAGGCATGTATTTTTTTGCTAAGTGTAAAATATCATAGAAATTATATTCTAAAGGGCTGGGGTTGTATAGCACAATGGTAGAGCACTTGCCTCGCACGCATGAGGCTGTGGGTTTGAACCTCAGCACCACATTAAAAAACAAACAAATAAAAATAAAGATATTGTGTCCATCTACAAATTTAAAAAATTAAAAAATTATATTCTAAAGAATGTGTTTAGATGCTAGAAGGACTATTGAAGGAATTTTAGAATCCATTTACCTAAAAGATCATTAAAAATGAAGAAGACAACCATCTTTCTTAGATGAATCACACAGGGCCACTGTTATTCTCTGGCCTCACAAGGACCCTCCCAGTCTCACAATTCTCCACCCATGCGCATGTTTTGCCTGGTAAGTGAATGCATCAATAATGAATCCTGAAATAGCATTTTACACGTTGAAATGGCAGAAAACACTGTCCTCTCTAAGCAAATTCTTGGCAATCATATCTCTGCTCTTGCGCTATTTAATCTGATCAGTCCAACAGCAGAATTCTGACTGCGGAACTGGTTATGTAGCAATACACATGGTATGCAATTTCTTCCTCCAGATGATGAGGCTTGGAAAGGCTTTAATTTGGATCAACAGACGATGCCAGCTGATGCTCCATGATATACTATTTATAACTTATAAATGTTTACAACTGCCCTTTAAAGAATATATTAAAAGAATATGAAATATAGGAGAAAAGAATTATATCAAAATTAAAAATCACCTGATACTGGCTAATAGATGAGATCACTGGCTATATATGATTTTTCAAAATGCAAGTTAAGTGTTTCCATATTCTGAGAATGACATAAAAAAATTGGTGATGGTAGAGATGAAAACCAGATATTTTATTCTTCTGTATGTGGATAACCAGTGTTCCCAATACTCTTTCTTGAAGATACTATTTATTTCTCATTGTGCATTCTTGGCACTTTGGTTAAAAAATCAGTTGGCCCTCAGTGTGTGGGTTCATTTCTGGGCTCTTTATTCTGTCCCATGTGTCTATTTTTATAACAGTACCATTCTGTTTCAATAGCTTTAAAATGCAGCTTGACATTAGGAAGTATGATGGTTCTGGTTTTGTTTTGCTAAAGATGGCTCTGACTATTCAGGATTGTCATTCCATATGAATTTTAGAATATTTTCATTTCTGTGAAAAATGACATTGGAATTCTGATAGGGATTGCAGTGAACGTGTACATTGTTTTGAGTAGTACTAATATTTTAATAATATTAATTCTTTAAACCCATCAACACAGAATGTTTTCATTTATTGTGTCTTCTTCAATTGCAGAATACAGCTCTTTCAAATTTTTGGTTAAATTAACTCCTTAGTTTTTTTGTTTGTTTTTATTTTTGGTAGCTATTGAGAATGTAATTTTCTTTCTTTTTCTTTTTGTGGAGAGCTCCTTGTTAGTGTGTAGAAATGCTCTTTTTTTTTTTCTTAATTCTTACTTTGTAACCTGCAACTTTACTATATTTGTTTATTAGGTTTACAAGTTTTTTGATGGAGCCTCTATAGTTTTCTGCATTTAAGATGATACCATCAGTGAACAGTGACAATTTGAATTACTTCTTTTCCTACTTGGTTGTCTTCTTTTTCTTTTTCTTGACTAAACTCCAGCAAGGAACTCCAGTACTATACTGAATATTAGTGGTGAGAGTGGACATCCTTATCTTGTTCTTGATATAAAGAAAAAGCTTTTAGCTTTTTACTATCAAGTCTGATATTAGCTGTAGGCTTGTAACACATGGTCTTTAGTGCTGAGGTACATTCTTTTTATTGCTAATTTATTGAGAGTTTTTATCATGAAAGGATGTTCATTTTTGACAAATGCTTTTGAGATGATCATATGACTTTTGTCCTCCATTCTATTGATGTGATATGTCACATTTATTGATTTGTATATGTTAATACATCCTTGCATCTGAGGCATAAATGTCATTTAATTATGGTGAATAATCCTTTTAAAGTGCTGTTGAATTTGATTTACTAGTACTTTGTTGGGAATTTCTGCATCTATATTCATCAGGGATATTGGCTTATAATTTCCATTTCTTGTGGTGTCCTTGTCTGGCTTTGACATCAAGGTAATGCTGGCTCATAAAAAGAGTTAGGAGTGAGGAAGAAGAGGAGGAAGTGCCTGAATAGGAAGGAGAGCCAAGTTCCATTGTCAACGTGCCTGGTGAGTCTACTCTCCATTGGGATTTCCTGAGACTGCAGCAGGAGAACAAGGAATGTTCTGAGGCTCTCCGGAGACAGCAACTATTGCAGTAGCAACAGCTCTGGGAGCAGGAAGAGTATAAAAGGCAGCTGCTGGCATAGAGGCAGAAACATATTGAGCAGCAGAAAGAACAGAGGTGGAGGCTAGAAGAGTTTTCCTTGATGGTTTTGGATGGTCCTACAAGGAAAAGTGGATAATGCTGAGCTCACACAGACAAGTTCATTCTGGAAGTCCCACCAACTGTTCCTTTCTGTTCCTCATAGCCTCAATGTATTTGATGATGATCCCTGAGTCTCTCCTCTGGACCCACTCATAAATGTTTTGTTTACTCTGCATATATCATCTAGATTAAAAATTCCCACCAAATAATGATCTCCCTGCATGCAAAAGTTTTAACATTACTAATACTACTTTTTGTATTTAGAGCATTACCATGCCTTTGGCTCACAGAGAACTTTGTCAATGGCTAATTTTTTTTTAATAAAAATTGTTTGTACGCTAACCTTTCCCCCAATCTAATAGTTACTTGTTTGTTTTTCAGGAGAAATGAAGTCTATTTCATTGTTATTCTATCCCATATTTTTTTGTGTGTCTTTTTTCTTTGAGTCAGATTTGGTACCCATCACCTATTCCTCCTTACATACATGATGGTTAGCCTGTTTTCTTCGTTGTTTATCTTAAGTTTAATAAAAAATATTGAAATGATGTCCTAGAAAAAGCCTGATCAGCAAGCTAAGATAAACTTACATTAGTTGTACTTGGGGTATGATTTTGAACCTATTATGTATATAACTAAATGTCATGTCTGCTGGTTTGTATGTTTTTATTTATCTCATGGAGACAGATTATTAAAAGAAAAAGAAAACTTAAAAAAAATAAAAAGAGTTAGGAAGTATTCGCTCTTTAATTTTTTGGAAGAGTATGAGAAGGACTGGTATTAGTTCCTTTTTAAATGTTTGGTAGAATTCATCCATGAAGTCATTATTTCCTAAGATTTTCTTTGACAGGAGACTTTTTATTACTGATTCAATTTTTCATTTGTTCATTATCATTCTTACATTTTCTATTTCTTATTGTTGTATTGGGGATTGAACTCAGGGTCTCCCTAGGCAAATGACCTATCACCGAACAACACCTCCAGGCCCCTTCTTAACTTTATTTTGAAACAGCATCTCAATAAGTTTCACTAACTGGCCTTGAGCTTTCAATCCTCTTGCCTTAGCCTCCTGAGTAGTTATTATAGGCATGTGACACTGCACCTGGCTATTTCTTCTTGATTCAGAGGTTATATGAGCCTAGGAACCTCCCACCAACAGTCTATAGAGGTTCTGTTTTCCATACACCATTGCCATTATTTATTTATTTAAAGAGGGAGGGAGAGGGAGAGGGAGAGGGAGGGAGAGGGAGGGAGGGAGAGGGAGGAAGGGGGAGAGAGAGAGAGAGAGAGAAGAGAGAGATAATGAATTCTTTAATATTTATTTTTTAGTTTTCGGTGGACACAACATCTTTATTTGTTTGTGGTGCTGAGGATCAAACTCAGCGTTCTGCGCATGCCAGGCGAGCACGCTACCGCTTGAGCCACATCCCCAGCCCCATTGCCATTATTTAATATTTGTGTTTTTACTAACAGCCATTAAGACATATGTGTCTTTTTCTAGATTATCAAATCTTTTGGGATTTAATTAATTGTTCACAGTAATTTCCTATGATCTTTTGTATTTCTCTGCTATGAGAGTTTTAGTTGTCTCCTCTCAATTCTGATTTTGAGAGCCTTCTTTCTTTCCCCTTAGTCTAGCTAAGGGCCTGTTGATTTTATCTTTAAAAAAAAAATTCTTGGTTGTGTTGATTTTTCTTTTTCAAGTCTCTATTCCATGTTATTTCTGTTCCAATGTTTATTTTCTTCCTTCTGCTAACTTTGGCTTGATTTATTCTTCTTTTCCTAGTTCCATGAGGTGTAACATTAGGTTATTAATTCCTTTGCTGCATCTTGTATATTCTGGTAAGTTGTGTTTCCATTTTCTTTTGTCTTAAAAGATTTTTTGTTTTCCTTTTGATTTCCACTTTGACCCCCTGGTTTATTCAAAGGCAGATTGTTTAATTTACACATATGTGTGAATATTTTCACTATTACTGATTTTTAGTTTCACAAAACTATGATTAGAAAAGGTATTTCTTATGTCTTTGATCCTCTTAAACTTGTTCAGACCTGCTTTGTGAATAACATAGGATCTGTCCAGGAAGATTGGTCCATTTATGCTTGAGAAGATTTAGTTTTCTGTGGGTGTTGGATAGACTGTTCTATATGTCTACAAGATCTACTTGGTCTGAAGTATAGTTCAAGGCCACGGTTTCCTTATTCATTTTCTGTCTGAATTATATGTTCATTGTTGAAGGTGGGGTATTTAAGTCTCTTACTACTATTGTATTTTAATCTCTCTCTCTCTTCAGATCCTTTAGTATTTATTTTATATATTTAGGTACTCTGATATTGGGTTTATATATGATTTAAATACTATATATACTTGATGAACTGACTCCTTTGTCAGTACATAATGCTCTTGCTTTATTTTATAGTTTTTTTATTTAAAATCCACTTTGTGTGTTATAAATACAGCTACCCCTGCTCTTTTTTGGTTTCTATCCCTTCACTCTCAAGTTATGTGTGACCTTAAAGGTGACATGATTCTCCTATTTAGGTGACACAGAATTGGTCTTTCATATCTTCTTCTTCTTCTTCTTTTTTTTTGGTACTGAGGATTGAACCCAGGGGTGCTCAAACACTGAGCCACATCCCCAGCCCTTTTTAATATTTTATATAGAAAAAGGGTCTTGCTGAATTGCTAAGTGCCTTGCTAAGTTGCTAAGGCTGGCTTTGAACTCACAATCCTCCTGCGTTAGCCTCCCAAGCTGCTGGGATTACAGGTGTGTGCCACTGTGCCTGGCTCAAATCTTAAGCTAAATCTTCTATTCTGAAGGACTTTCTCAAGAGTTCTGGTTTAGTCAGTTGCAATTATTTCCTTGAGCAGTAGCAAATAAAATATTAAGAATTTCACACCCATGTGTCAATACAAGTAAAATACATATTATAAATTCTTATTGTGGATTAGATGCTTGATTTAAATTTACTAGAATACAAACTTGCTTGGCTATTGCTAGAGGTTCTCCACTGATAAAATATAGTAATGAATTGTATAGAAGCTTAAGTATCTTTTTTGCTTGTTTTTGTTATGTTTGTGGTACTGGGGATTGAATCTAGGGGCACTCTTAGTAGTGGCCATGTCCCTAGACCTTTTTAGTGTTTATGTTGAGGTGGTCTAAGTTACTGAAGCTGACCTTGAACTTATGATCCTCCTGACTGAGTCTCCAAAGTAGCTGGTTTCAAGTATGTACCACTTCACCCAGCTAAGCACCTTTATAAAGATAGCTTACATACAGAAGTTGATGATACAAGAATTAAAACATATGCATAACTGAGAAGCAGCAGATTGTCATCTTTATGTGATGCCTTGTGTGTATGTTCTTCCCTCCTGAAAGGGGCTCATCCATCACTTCAAGGACCTAAGTTCCTCCTCTTCCGGCCTTCCTTCCTCCACTCAAACTGTAAATCTGACAAGTGTCATTTTACATTAAATGTGACTAGAAAGTCTGAGAAAGGGAAATCAATCTTGAATGGGCTGGCAAGAACCTGCCCGCAAAGCTAAAGCAGGATTCAGATGAGCACAGTAGCACAGGGAGGACATTTTGTACAAGGAATATTATGGCTGGGCCAGGAGGTAATAAAGAGGCTGAAGTAGAGGGTATTTGTCAGAAGAAAGGAAAATGGCAAGAGTGAAAAGGGAAGGTGGTACAAATCACAAAAATCCCAAAGTGCCAAGTCAATCCCATAAACCCATCCTATTTTTCAACAGGAGGAGAGAGATGAAAATAAGAAGAAAAAATTTTAATCTGTTAATAATACAACGGAGGTTGGGAGCTAATAGAATTCTAAGAATGAGGCCTAGCTGGAAGGGGTTGAGTGAGTGAAAGAGGGGATGAAACCAAAGGCAGTAGCATCTAGTTAAATTTTTAATTAATAATTTTACCCAGAAAAATCTTCTTGATGCATGGTGATGATTATGGCCTCTATTGCATCTCCCACTGAAGTCAGTAAAGGCTGCACTGCATTCCCCATAAGAGCATGAATTGTCTGACAAGAGAAAAAAGAAAGAAGAGGCGAAATCAAAGAAATCAACACAAAGAAACTGAAATGTGAGAAACATTTTGACTAACAGTTTTCATATTCTATCGAATTTAGACTATACATAGTTTAACTCAACAGAAGTCTGCTCCTCTTCCTAATCCTGTCAGTAACAATTTTTAAAGCTTAAAATATGTGGAACATGGCACTGAAAAATTTCAACTCCTCCACTCTTCTCATTTTTTTTCAAAAGGCTGAGTGGGTAAATGAGCCCCTGGAGAAAGTAACACATGAAAGAAGGGAAAAATGGTTCCACTTATGAAACAAAGAAAAAAAATGAACACTTTTTTTCTCAAAAGAGGTAAAACTAAAAGTAATTCTTTAAAAACTGAAACATCATCATATGTTTTTAACCAGAATGACTATAATAAATACACTGGTAATTCTCACTTAGGCATTTCACAATTTGGTTTCTGCTGAGTGTTCTTTAGCAGTGATTCTCATCTGTGGGCAAATTTGCTCCCCCAGGGAACATTTGGATATGCTTGAAGACATTTTTGGTTGTCACAACCAGGAAGGGGAGAGAAATGTGCCATTAGCATCTAGTGGGAGAGGTCAGAGATATTGCTGAATATCCTACAGGACAGATCACAACAAAGAATTACCTTGCCTGAAATGTACATGTGGAGAAGGGTGAAAACCTTTCACAGAGAGGCATAATTACTGGTTAATTAATGCAAGACCCCATTAGTCTCTGTGTACTAAGTTAATTATGGGGTTTTGGTGAGGAAATACTGACTGGGACCCAGTAAACACTCAGTAAATAGAACACTGAAGTACACTTTACATGCTTTAATGATGATTGCATATACTGAAGTTAGATAAAGGCTCTGGCTCATATATACATATGATTGAAATCAATGAAAAAAAGTTTTAAAAAAAAGTACTCTTCTTTATTAAGTTCCAAGTGGCATCTAGCTTTTTATCCCTGGTGAAAATGAACATACTATATACAGGAGTGAGTGAAATACCGTTTGCCCTCAAGGATCTATAGTCTAGTAACCACATATAAAAAAAATTATAGTGATATAAACACTTGGTACTGTGGGATCACAGAAGGACCTTCAACTTATGCTGACAAGATATGAAAAATAAAGAGTGTTCTTTGAACTGAATTTTAAAGAAGGATAATACTGGTAGCTCATCTGTTAAAAGGCACAGAAACCCAGAGAAAGCTGACGCTTTAGGAAAACTGCAAAGCAGTTAGTATACAGAGACTACCAGTGTCAACCTATTTACAGGAGAAAGAAGGAATAACAGAGGTTCTCTGAGTAGCCTGCTCCAGAGTTAGGGATTCATCACAAAAGGATCAGGAGGCCAATAATGAGTTTTCAATGAAAAAATGTGGCTTAAGATTTTAATTTAGTAAAAAACACTTTAAGCAGTAGCATAGATAAATGAGACTACAGACAGAACAGTTATGAGGCCACAGTAGTAAATGCTTGCAATAAGTGAGTAGTAGCAGGAATAGAGATGAGAAGACAACAGAACTTGGTAAATAGATCTGGAAGACAAGGAGTGAAAATATTAGAGAGTATACAATTTTTTTCTTTAACTGTTTAGCAATATTATTAACTGAATGTGTAAATGCAGAAGCAGAAGAGAGAGAAAAAGATGAAGAGTTCAGTTTGGAACATAAATTTGAAGTGTCTATGGGAAATCTACATGAGCTTTCAGGTAGGTACTGAGATATTTAAATTTGTACTTTTTGATACATTTTGATTGGATTTGGTAGTCACTGGTTTTTAAGATGTGAGAGGGACCCAAACAAGTCAATGAGACGCTGCAGAGATTAAGGCCACATTCCACTTTAAGGTCATGCAGAGGAAGAGGAGCCCTTAAAGGATTACTAAGGGTAAAACATTTATTGAGTATATATATGCTTCATATAAAATAATTTTACTTATAACTAAATTATTCCTGTATCAAAAATTATTAAAATGTCCAAGTTATAGATGAGGAATCCAAAATAGATAGGAAAACTAAAGTCAAGCTAAGGAGATTATTAAGGCACAAGTGAGCAAGATTATCTAGCTATATCAGACTTTTTTGAGCTTCTGGTTATTATTATGCACCTGAGCAGAGATGAGAAGAGACCCTGGAGTATGGTAGAAATAAAAAGATGAAAAGATTTCAAGAAGGAAATCTATTTATGGTATGAAGGAGTATCTAACTATAGATCCTTCTACAAATAACTACGGGAGAAAATGCCCAAAACAAAACAAAAACCTCCTGGAACGCTTTGGAGAGAGGAAAATACAGGTAGTTTTAGAAAAGCATGGGATGAGGCAAGCAACCAGTACAGAGTGAGTTCTCCATATTTTGTGGCTTTGTTCTTACAGTCATGGTGGAGTAGGGCTGAGTGGCTAAAACATGGGGGGTGGGGACTCCACACTATTTTTTTACCCAAAGGAACTGGGGAAGGAAATCTAGGTCAATCAGGGCTGCAGAAATCAGAGAAATCTTGAAAAGGAAAACGCCAAGAGAAAAATGCCTGATTCTATGTTTAAACTTAGCACTTGTCTTTAGCTGACTCATCAACCATGCGTGTTCAGAGGGAACCAAATGTAGCTTGCAACTAAGATTTAAAGAAGTGAACTGAGATTTGAGCCCTGGCCAGCTACAGGTATGACAGTTTACAATTTGATTATAATCAAGTTTATTGCTAAAGTAAAAATCAGCAACACTCTTTCAGAAGAAATATTTTTTAAAAAAAACCCTCTTAGTCTATACAACATAACATTCACAATTTCTAGGATATATCAATCAAAATTTACTACATATATAAAAAGATAGGATTTTTAAAAAAATCAATTCTCAAGGGGAAAAAAGACAATCAACAGATGCCAAACCTGACATGACCCAGACTCTAGATTGTCAGGCAAGAACTTCAGTGAGTAAAAAAAAAAAAAAAAAAAATGCTCACAGTAAGTAAGCAAAATAATAGAAATTTTCAGTGATTCAAAATGTTTCATGAAAGATCCAAATGGGAATTTTCAACTATAAAATTGTACTCTCTGAAACACAAATGTTCACTGAGAAGGCTTAACAGAAGAAATGAGATAATAGAAAAAAAAGTTAATGAACCTAGATAGAATCAACAGAAATCTGGAGAAAAGACAACTGAAAAATAATTAAACTTGTAAAGTAATTGCAGAAGGTCTAATATATTGAAAACTAGAGTCACATAAGGAGAGAGAAACTTGAGGCAGAAAAATTATTTGGAGGGAAAAAAGGGCCCCAGACTTCCCAAAATAATAAAAAGCATGGAATTTGTAGATTTGAGAAAATCAGTAAATACCAAACAGAATGATTTTGAAGAGGACTATGCCTAAGCACATCATAAATAAAACCACTGTAAGTCAAAGAGAAAGGGGAGGGCTGGGGATATCGCTCAACTGGCAGAGTGCTTGCCTCACATGCACAAGGCCCAGGGTTCAATCCCCAGCATAACAGGAAAAAAAAAAAAAAAAAAAAACTTCGGCAGAGAGAAAGGTGAAATCTTAAAACAAGGGGAGAAAAAGGAGCTGACAGAAAGGAGTTGACAGGATCATAAACAAAACAATTTTAAGGACTGATGACTTCTCCTCTGAAAGCTCCAGAAAACAGTGGAACAACATATTAAAGGTGTTGAAAGAAAAACAACTCTCAAACCTGTAAAAATATCCTCTGAAACTGAAATAAAAATATTTCTGCAAGAGAAAATAAAGGGGATTTGTTGGAAACAATAAAAACAAGTTGAAGAAAAATGATACTAGAATGAAACTTCAAATCTTTAAAAATGAATGCAGAGCATTAAGTAAATGTAAAATATAGATTATAAACATTTTTCCTTTCATATTAAAAATACATATAATTTTGCCAGTCATGGGGTTTATGCCTATAATTACAGCTACTTGGGAGGCTGTGGCAGGAGGATCACCAAGTTTGAGGCTAGCCTGGGCAATTTAGTGAGACCCTGTCTCAAAATAAAAAATAAAAAGAACTGGAGATACAGCTAAGAATTTGAGACCCCTGGGCTCATTCCCAGTATCATCAAACACACACACATGCACACACACACACACACACACACACACCACCACCACCATCACCACCACCACTACCACCAATAATGTATAATTTTTAAAAGCAAAAATTAAACTATGCCTTAAGGGTTTATAATGTACATAAATATAAATGTATTTCTATGATTTTACATGACATAGTACAATAGTAACTCTAAAAAAATTGTGAAGAGTTAAGGGTGTATATGGTGATCCACAGAGGAAATACTAAATATAGAAAAATCATACAAAGAGGTATATGTGAAACTTCAATAAATAAAAACAGAATTCTTTTAAAAAATCAGTTACCAAAAGAAGGCAGAAAAGGAGGAAAAGAGAGGGAGAAATTTAAAAAAAAAATGGAGAAAGAAAAAGCAAATAAAACTATAAAACTAAATAAAATCTTGTTGATAATACTTTTATTGTGTTAATGGACTAAGTGCAACAATTAAAGGGCAGAGATTATCAGAATAGACAAAAGAGGAAGGCCCAACTACATAGTGTCTATTAAGAGATGCACTTTAAAAATAAAAACACAGGGGCTCAGTGAGAGTGAGCTTGCCTACCACGTTGTGAGGTCCTGGGTTCAAGCTTTCAGCACCACATGAAAAAAATAAATTAAATAAAGATATTGTGCCCATCTACAACTGAAAGAAAGAAAGAAGGAAGGAAGGAAGGAAAGAAAGAAAGAAAGAGAAAGAAATAAATAAATAAAGAAAGAAAGAAAGAAAGAACTGAACAATATATAGGTTCTGTCAGTGAAACAAGGCATGGAAAGCAGGTATCAAGGCCAAAAAGAAAGAAAGAAAACTTTCTCAATTTGCATAACATATAATGATTCACACAGAAAACTTTTTAGTTGGTTTCCCATTTAGGGAAATATGAAACTGGAAGAGAAGAGAG